TATTGAATAATTGCATTGCCCTCTCCACTTGCCAGCAACACCTCCGCCCAACATCAAAAGGAGTTTTTTAATCTGATCCCCAGACACAAATTATTATAAAATTATTCTTAAAATGAAAATTATTGTACTATTGCATAATCTCGTTATCCAGATTATTCAGATAAATGTGAATGAAATAGTCAAAAAGAAAAAGTAGAAACGTCGGAGAAAAAGAAATATATGTTCTTCGATAAGAGATAATTTAGAATTGTTTATTATTATAAAATCTTATTCTGTTTTCTTTTTCTCAGATTTTTCTATTGAAAATACTTGAAATTAAACTTTATAAATTTTCAATTATGCTTTTCAATACAACAAGTTGCACATAATACATCGATATAATTGCTTATTATGTATTGCATATATTACATCACATTAATAAAAGTAACAGAGTTATTTTAACATATGCAATGCCTATATAAATTGGTTAAATAATACTTATGTCAAGGATATTTTTATTTATTTTCTCACCTGGATGAATAGCGCTTATAATCGCCACTCCAAGTTTCAAAACTAATACCTATTTCTTCTATTTCGATGGATGGTGTATGTATGACTTACATCTCCATTATGTATTTTACTCAACTAATATAGCGTGTTTATCTAATTGTTAATATCATACATTCTATTACTATAGTAATAACAAATTGTAGCTCTCAAAAATTTCACGTTTCTTTGTACTTCTTCATTCTAATATCAATATTATGAATAAATTACTCACATGGGAATTCTTCGCCAATTGTCTAAAAATTATTTATATATATATATATATATATATATATAATAAAGATAAAAATATTAATGCATTATCATAAAAATATCATTAATAAGAATGAGATATAATCGTAATTAATATAGTACGTAATATTAATTTAAATGTACATTCATAAGTATAGATATTTCAAATATTATTGTAGCACAAACAGTATATAATTAATTCTTAGTCACTTGTTCATTAGTGGTTTGAAAAAATTACTGAATTTCAATAATCTTATGTCATTTTGAAAAGAACAATTATAAATAAATCAGAAATCTTACATTTTCAAACGTTCATACACAATTAGACTACATGGCTCTTTTCTTTAATTACTTAACGCTTTTAACATACATTAAATATTGATTTGTAATTAAGAATTAATAGTAATAAATTGAAAATTGATAGTAATAATTAGATTTCATCAATTTATCAATTACGTTATATTTCAATTATCCTTTGTTAATAGATAGGATGAAATTTTCTTTTGTGTTTTTACAAGTTGAAGGTAATCGAATTGAATGGAATTAAAAGCTCCAACAAGCACAATTACAATATCCGTGTATACTCATTGCGGATATTAAAGTAAATTGCCTAATATTTGAAATAAATTCCATGTGAAAAAAATAAATTGTAAAATTAGTTGCATATATATTACAAATTGATTGTATTTGTTATTATTGCTAGCTCCATTGCTCGCATTCCTTTTTAATTATAATATTACGGATTTATATGTTTGGTTCATGCGTCAAACACAAAATGGTTATTGAGACTGAAGGTTTGTAATATTATCGATATCTAATTAGTTCGAAAGTTAGCTGTGATACTGCTTGTACGAAGAGGAGAATTAAATTTTCGTCTACATCTTTTGTTCGTGTCTGCATGTAATTGATAGGAAACAGGCTCTAATGGGCAACTTTATACTAACAAAGGTTAAGATAACGATGTAGAGTAGAACTATGATCCTTTCTTAGAAGAAAAATGTAGAGAATTAGTCATTGGTTAGATAGGAGATAAAGTGATCATCTTCAAGTTCACATAAATGATTAAAAGTTCATATAAATAATAAAATGCTAACAATTAAATTGAATATTATTCATTAATATAAGTAATTAATTGGATTCTTTTTTTTTCTTTTCTTTTTTTTTTTAACGAGTAGTGCAATATAGATATCGCTGTGTTTATTATAAAAACTACGAATTATGTAATAACTTGGACTATTTGAAAAGGCATTTTAATGTTACAATTTTAATGTCGAACCTTTCAAATAGGATTTATTACGAGCATACGTATTGCAACGTTTATTAATGTCGGCGTGTTATCAAAAACAAATGCTATTATATCCAACGGGCAGTGAGTATTTTACAAATAGAAATGTTGAATGCTTCAGAATATAATAATCGAATGAAAGTTAATTACTCGCTAAGAAGTAAAATTAAGTTAAATTAAGTAAAATCAATCATAATTTATGAAATTCATATTTAATTGCAAATAACGAGTATTAATTTCAATAGAAATATATTCTTTATAAGAAAGTAAGAATATTTTACAATAGATAAGCTATAAGTTAGTAAAGCAGGTGCGCGTTAAATTATAATCCGAAACTTTTGGAAGCTTTTAATGTTTTGCTTCGAGATACATCCAACTCTATTGAATCTTACGCTTGAACTCTTGAAGGTTTTATCAGAATGGTTTGGAGCTCAGTTGATTTATAACGGTTGTAAATCTTAAATTAGAGTAATTTGTCGGGTTGCGATAGCGCCGATAATTTCTATCGACGTACGAAAAAATAATAGAATTTAGGAAAAATGAAAGGATAACTTTTAATAAATAAATAAATTACGCAAATAAAAATGTTTCTAACATTTTGCTTTTTAATTCTATTGGCCAATCAATATCAATAGATTTCTCGAAATTTGTCCATATTATGAGCAATTAAAAATACTCTAAATGATGGCAATCAATATCGCTTGGCATATATTTAAAATTCTTTAGGTAGTTTATATTTGAAATATATTGTAATATTAAACGGTAAAATAATTGTAACACTTTGAAAAATATATCACTTTTACATTTCCAACTCAAAAAGCACCTTGATATTATACAAGATATTACTAACAAGATTGTTATTAAAATTTGTTTTAGTTAGATATAAATGTCCAGCAAGTAGTGGCAATATTATATTATTAAGGGTCATAACGCTCTAAAAATATAAAATAAGATAACACTTCACCCAAAAGAATAAATTTGCATTCTATGATGATTTTTGTTTTAAAATAATAATTTTGAAATGTACATGTAGATGCATTTGTACAAATATTTATAACTTTTATAAGCAAATATTTATAAGCTTATTAATTTATGAATATAATCTTTCTTAATTAAACACTTTTTCACTACACACTAAATTTTACAAACAAATGAATTTTGATAATGCAAATCTTTTATAAACTTTCTATGATACTGAATTTATATTTATAATTGTCAATATTACTTAATATACCAATTTATCTTTAAATATTATAATCAATTGATGAACATTTTGAGTATATGTAGTGAAATATATGTATTTACAATGGAAAATAATACCAATAAAATTTGACAATAGGACACAGTGCCTTTTGTAAACAGAAATTACGAAATAATGCATTAAATCTATCCACGTACTCATCCTGTGGTATAAATATTAACAACAATTTTCAAAATTCCATAAGTTTCACCAATCATTCTAATACCCTCAATTATTACTCGAATCCCCAAACCATAGAATACAAGGTAAAACAAATTTATAATTAAAATCATTTCGAATCGTCCAATATTCATATATATATATATATATATATATATATATATATCACAGAAATAAAATAATAAAATATGTCGGAAATTTAATAGTATTAGCGTACGTGAAAATTTATTTATATTCGGATAATTATCTATGATTAGCTTCTTATAAAAGTCAATCTATCTTCATAAGAATTATATTATTTTCCATAAATTCAAATTCTTATTTCTTAATATCGATTAGTGATTATAATGCACATTATATAATACGAGAAGTGAGAAGTTCCACTATTATTTTAAAACTAGTCGAATTGTGATTTTTGAATGTTCAGCTGTTAGATTTTAAATCAAGCATTATATTATATATTATCTAGTTTTTTATTAGAAATTCTGATAATAAATAAAATATTAGGAAATTTGTTTAATATTGTTTATCCAATATTTGTTTTTTTTTTCATCAACAATGCAAAATAAATAATAGCGTCGAAGTAAATTCTATTGTAATTGAAAAATCTTTCGGATTTCTTTATATAATATATACGATAATTAATTCAATTCCATTACAATACTTTTTTTTACAGATTTATTAGTGTATGATTAATATTCTACAAAAAGAAAAAATATATTTCAAATAATTAAATTTATTAATATCAATGTACATGTACGCACGGTATATCTTTTCAAAACACTTATTTGGGAATTCTTCGGTTTGAAATGTGAAAATGATACTGAAAAATACTTGCTTTCGTGCATACCATTATGAATAACTTTATACGAATAAACAGATATTAAAATTAATTATGTGCAAAATTCTAATAATTTACTATATGTATATGTAAATATTCAATATAATTTTATTTTTCATTTCAACATTTTTTAATGTAAACTATCATACAGTTTACATAAAAAATCTATTAAAATCTTATACAATATAATACAAACTATCATTAAAAATTGTTGCACCTATTTCCGCACATTATACATCGATATATTAATATAATACACAAATGGAAATTATGAAAATAATGGAAAAAATTATATTAAACTGTTCAATGATGCTATCAGCGAGTCTACTAGCCAATATATTACAAAATAATAAAAACAAATATATATTTATATATCGCATTAAATCTTATCTATGTCAATTATGAATTTACTCGAAAGAACTCATGTAAGTAGGATTGGTAGGTAGAAACATTCTAGAGCGAGAGGATTTATTTGCCTATAGTAATGATAGTCGCCTGGTAATGTTAATTTTCGTTTTTTAATCATTACAACAATTCTTTAAAAGCTAAATATTGAAGAATTGAAATAAAAATGCTCCTCTATGTTTAATATATTTAATTAACAGTATGCATAAAAAAATATATATAGTATTTTTAATTAAATACATGTCGTATTTGTATATAATTATTTTATTACGTTAACTGAACTCTGTGTGGGAATTATCTTTTACATCCAAGATAAAGTTTTTATAATACTGAATCCCGCAATGTATGTTCACTTGATCTGGATGATATAGTTCAGGAAGTTGTGGACATGTGCCATGATTCACTGCTACGAGCATATCGTTGTATAAGAGTGGACCACCACTGTCACCCTACAAATAGAAAATAATAACATGAATCTATTGTGTAACATAGATACTAATTTACATAGTAATTTACAAAAATGAAAATGTTGCAATGTTGAAGAAGGTCTATTAAGCTAAAAAGGTTTATTAAGCTTTTCTAAATATTACAAAAATGTATGTTTATAGTCTGCAGTAAATATTTTAAAAAGTAGACAAAAAATTAATGCTGTAATATTAATTAATAAGATTTTTATTCTTAAAGTGATTATTTAGTGATTTAGATTTTTCTATAAAAATTGAAGCGTATGGTAGTTTTAGTACATTACATAATATTACACAAATTACAAAGTTTATAAAATTTATAAGCAATAATCATTGAAGTAATAATAATGCATTATAGCTTTAATTTAACAAATACATTTCAGAAATTTTATAAGCTTTATTAGTATGAAACATCTAATAAAACTTTCGTTCGTTTAACATTTACCGATTGTTATCTACTTTCCTCCTGTACGTTTGAATAGCCTCAAAATGTCTAATGTGATTAAATATCTAAAGAAAATTCAAAACAAGAGTATCTTAGACTTTTTTTTTATTAATGAAAAAACATAAATAGCCTGCGAATGCAAAAGAAAGTGTGTGCAGTGTATGTTTTGAGTGTCATTGACGACAACCTCCACATACTGCAAGTGATTTAGAAAGTTCGCGTAAACAATTTTAAACTTAGCGATTTAATTGAGCTTGCTGGATGACTGACTGCTCAAGTCTGATAAGACCCAAATATTGGCAATCCGTAATCAATTTACTGCATTGTGCAACGCCATTTTCCTTCCGATTAATTTACTATGTTTTTCTTGTCAGAGCAATAAAATTTATCTTTGCCAACATATGCCGTTATTATTATTATTATTTTATTTATTTATTTATTTTTTTAAATATTCATCGGTATTTTGAAATTAATTATAATTCCTAGTTCCATGCATGCTTCGAGGAAACACAAATATAATGCTTCATCGAATATTTACAATTTACTTACCATTGTCCTCAGTCGCGTCTAGCTTATCAATTACTTATCAATTACTTTAATATAATTGATAGAATTGACATTTCAAAGGCATTAATGATTTAAAAGTATTAATTACACGCGTGAAATATAAAGCGAAAATTTTAATTTTAATCTTTTAGAGATTTAGCATAAATAGGAGCACTCAAATAATTCGTGCATAATAGAATGCATCGTTACTTGAAATGAATTACATTATATGAAATGAATTACATTAAATGAATAACATCATTAATAAAGAGTGTTGTGATGGGATGTCATAATCATACATAATTATACAAAAGTTTAAATTAAATAAATGTTTCTTACCCCTAGTACTAACACATAAGGTTCGGCAATAGAACATAGTCGTCTTGAATGAACCATCAATCTACTCCCATGAAGAACTTCTATTCTATTCATACATTCTTCGTTTGATATAATTGTAAGACGGGCGGTCTGTAACATTCTTGAAGTCGTCGTATTACCCATTTTACCCCAAGATGCTGTTACAACTTTTTTACCAAACAGTCTGGTAGGCGCTATATTGCGAATTCGTGGATATGCCATGTTTCCAGGCACATTGCCATAAATCTAAGTATTGTTATAAAAAAAAAAAAAAAAAAAAAAAATGAAAAGAGAAAGTAAAGAATTTTATTTCACTCGTAAAACGACATAAATTAAATTTATAAATCATAAATTACCTTTATAAAAGCTATATCGTTTTGCCTGAATTCAGTTTCAATATTTTTCGAGGCTGCCCATTCGTTGTACCCCCACCACCAAAGAGCCCGGTACATTACACCTTGGCGTAAGTCATTTGAACCAATTATCAACCTAAAGTCTAATACAGTCAAAGAGTGCAGACAATGATATGACGTTAGTGCATCTTGGGCTGAAATAAGTGTTCCCGTGCATCGATGAACTTCGTCTGCTGGACGGTCGTCGTTCGGATAATATGTCATAATAGATATAACGAAGGGGAATTCATTTGGACGGGCGTTTCGAATATTCGAGCCGACCATAGCATTTGCAAAATTGTACCCGGAATCTAAAGGATAAATAGTTTTTAGCTCTGATAATTGTAAAATCAAATAATTGCAAATAATTTTCATCAATCGATTTTACAGAACAGACCAATGGATTAATTAATAATTGTATAATTTTGATTTTTATTACTTACGGAATACAAATTGAGCAAGGAAAAGAGGTAGTACGAGCCGCATGATAAAGGAATCTATATCAAGAAACATAATTTATTGACTAAAATTCTACATAGATAGATTCTATAAAATAAATGTTATAGCTTAAGACTAAAAATAGCTTCAGAGATATGATAGATTTTTTCAATTGAATAATATTTTTTCTAATATATAAAACGATATCATGTTAGAATTTAAGGTATAAACATTGTTTTCATAGTTTCAAAAGTCGACAATAAGTAAAATGTATTAATACATAGTGATTTGTATGTAATCATATTGTAAAATATTTTTCATTATCACATTAATATTCAAGTCACGTATTTAACATATTTTAACTTAAATAAACATTATTTGTTTGATTTTAAAAATATTTTTTACATTAAATTATTTATATAATTTTTTTTTTTTAATTTATGATATTTTAAATGTCTTAACTGACAATTTGAATACCTTAGCTATTTTCCTAAGTTCTCGTCAGGATAAAATTCAATACTAATATAATAAACATTATTTTATTTTGTTTTTTGTTTTTAAATCTATTAAAGTTTCAAACACTTTTGCATTTAAAGCATTTGTTATAGAGAGAGGAAGAGAGAGCGAGAGAGAGAGAGAGAGAGAGAGAGAGAGGGAGAGAGAGAAAAGCAGAGTAATATAATTACATTCATTTATACGTTAATTAATTTATTAATATACACATTTTACGTAAATTATAATAAAATTTCTAATGATTAAACAAAGCATAGTAATCAATAACAGATGTACAATAATAATTTATTTTTTGAAATTGTAGTTAAGATGTATAAAATAATATTTTTATATATATTATTATTATATGCTAGAATAATAACTATAATATATAGAAGATAATATTTTAGAAAAATTATATTGAATTTCCGCTTGATCTGACTGATGATATTTCAAGATCACAAATATTAGTCTCTTATCTCAAAAATTTGATGGTTGAGGTTGAGGTAAATATTTTTCATATAACATATTTGTTACTTTTTTTTAATAAATTTTCATTTACGTATAGTATAATTAATAATTTACTAATTCGTAATCAAAGAAGAAATTACTAAGCCACATGGAAAAACGTAAGCACACTCTTGACATACATTTAGATGCTGTTTATTTTGAATTATTTTTTATGTTAAAATATTTATTGTACAAACACATAGTAACTTAATGAAAATAAGAATAAAAGTTACGGTATGCTTATTTCGAATATAGTCTAAAAACTTATATGAAGTAGCATAATTATTTACAAATAACTAAATGTAAAATAAATATTGAAAATATAGACGAGTGAGCATTACTGATTATTATCAATAGAATACAGAAATTTTTCCTAGAGAAAAACAAATTCTCTTTGAAATTCTCAAGAAATTAATATTCTTAAAGCAATTGTGGAGAGTAAATGTATAATACCATTTAAATTTATAATAATGATACTATGAAAATTGAAAAATATACGTTTCATTTATGCATTATTTAGTACATCAAGTGCTATACTATCTGCCTCCGATGAATGTAGTAAAAACAGAAATATTTTATGTATTAGCAACTCCACCTGGAGTATAATTGAATAAAATTATTTCTGCCATATCTTATTATAAGTTGACTTTTCTTTATAACACCAAATGTATTATATAATCACATAAAAAACGTAAAATGTAATAATAAATGTAAAAAACTATAGTGATTAGTAGAACTGCGAATTAGTAGCAAAATCGTAATATTGTAGTAATTTTCTTAAATAAATAATAAACCACTTAAAGAAAGTAAAGCTATGAAAGATTCATTAGTGAAAATACGTGTGTAAAAAACATATTTGTCTCGAGGAAACTTATTTAAATATTAGTTTTGGATTTTTTTAGAATCATTAAAAATACAATTATGAAGAAAATTTTTTATATTCAATATTTTGTTTTTGTAAAGAGGGAATACTAAATTTAGGATGGTATTTGTGGTAACTAAATGAATAAAATCAGAAGAATTGATGAAAGTTCCAATCCTACTAAATCAATAATTTTAATTTTCAAAGGCTTTTAATGTTATTTGAATATCTAAAATATATGATAAATAGACTTAACAATAAGTAAGTCTTAATTATCTTGCCTATCGTTGTGAAAACAATAATGAGACTTACCTTTCCAAATATTCTTTATAATAAAGTTTCAAAATAACGTAAAATTATTCCCTTACGCTAATAAAATAAGTTTGAAACAATTTTTAATCTACATGCTTTGAAATTATACAACTACAAGGGACTTAATCTTATAATAAATGCAACAAAGATAAAGTTACTCAACTCTTATGCATTAACAATTTTTAATAAAATTTTAAAGGAATTTTTTTTGTGGAATTATAATAAAACACAATGTTTAGAAAATGAAATAATATGTATGTGTTAATGTAAGTATTTTAATTATTAACGAGTGATTATTATTTTTTGTTAACCCTAAGCTATATTTTTTTATATCGTATATTTTAAAGTAAAAAATAAACTGTATAAATCCAATAAGGGTTATAAATATTAATCACTTCAAAATTTTATCATTCTTACTTGAATTTTATTAAACAATGTACATTTCGCATCATTATCATATTTTCAAATTTTAATGTTACATTAATAATACAATTTTAATAATGATTATATATATATATATATATATATATATATATATATATATATTTTCTTTTTTTTTTTATAACATTTCAAGAGTATATTTATGTTTCGTAGAATTTTAATATTACAAAATGAAGTAATATGAATTAAACCATAATTTAAATGATAACACTTGTTTTATCAAAAATATTTACCTATAATATTTAAAACATTTATAAATTGCATTTTCTGTATAAATATGAATTTACATTTATATACAGTATTGATGTATTGACATTATTAAAATTCTATATGATATGAATTATCATACGCCAAATACAATAACTCTAATGATAATTTGTAAAATCGAAGTTAAGTTGTTCTGTATAATAATAATAATAATAATAGTATCCAATGGCCGAGCTTGACTCTCGATTAATGGCACAACGCCACACTGCTTACAAGTGAACCACTACTATCATCATAAAGTATATATGCATGAATATATGTATCCGACGTAAATTATAATTGTGATTTTTTAATGCGTAATGCAGTTTTTTTAATAGTGCCTCTTCAGCTTAAGAATAATTCGATTATATTATTATTAAATGTTATTAAACCATTTAAATGATGTCTTATGATAATTAAAAAAATGAATAATAGATATTATAGCTCTTCATATCGCCAACATATATTACTTAATATTTGATTCATTTAAATTTCAAAATTATTTTTCTATTTTTTAATGACACGTAATAAAAATTTTCCAAATATTTTCAAAATACTATACGTTTTTAATCAGTAGAGAACTTTTAAAGTTTTATAAGAAATTAAATTTTTTAAAAGTTTCAATAATTTTAATACTTACATATATATACATTGTTATAAATATTCGTAATGCATTCCTAGATAATTCTTTGAATAAAAAAAAGTAATAAATCGTACAAATATATTTAAAATTATAAATGTAAAATAATAAATAAATTTTGAAGAAACAAAAGATAATTTTTAGCTCGTGGAATAATATTATTTTATTTGTATAATTATGCATATTTTCACATATATAATAATATACATAATATAATTTGCAATAAAAAGAAATAAATTATATTCTTATTTAAGCTAATAAGTTTTTATTTTTTTTGTTCTATATTAAATACTTGCAAAAATAATTCCTAAAATTTCAAAAATGAGAACTCCGAAATTTATATTTCATTAGAATATTAAGAAGCCTAATCATTAATGTATAAACGAATTCAATAATTCAATTTACTTTATGCATAATTGTACAATTTTTGAAATATTGCTACAAGTCATAATAATTATGAAAGTATGCATAAAATCTCTTAAATTTCCACATTTACAAAAAAGTGACGTTAAAAAAACAACTGTAAACTGTGTTAAAAGTACACGATTAAATTCGTGATTAATTTTGTTTTTAAACTTCAAATAATGCATGTAAGAAAAGTTATTAGAATAACATTTATTACAAATCATTTTCGAGGATTTATGATATATTGAATCCACTTAGCGATTCCCAATAGAAAGATAAACGGTAATACTATATATTTTAATTAATAATAACGTTATGACGCATTCCTAATTCATTATTGATGCTATGAAATTCACACGAAATTTAAAAATTACAAGAAAGTGGTGTAGCTATTATTAATTAAAATATGAAATATGAAATATCAGCTCACTAAACTGTTGAGATCTTTGGCACATACATACTAGCTTGTTTAATTCTGAGTTAACCATAGACCAATGCATGATAATAAAATTAATATATAACATAAATACGTCATCACCAAATCAATCAATCGATCAAATATTCGTATTTAATAACAAATACTCAAGCGCATACGCACACTCTATAAGTCTGTCTATCGCTCTAATATAATTTAAAATATGCGAGATTAACTAAAAATCTTTGAAAAAAAAAACGACAATGCGATTTATTTATATGTAAATACATATAAATAAACCTAATATACCTGTTGGTTTAAATTAGATTTTTTTTATTACATCTGCCGTACTTTGCGTAAATTAATTCAATTAATTAAATATCGCTAAAGTTAGTTTTAGATTTATTTTTGGAATTTATAACAATGTTCTTTCAATATAATATATAAGTAATATAAATTAATTAGCACAAAACAACAAACAATTATCTCAATAATTATAGTTGGATCTTTACCATTAGTTTAACGTGTTTATATAGCTTAATATTCTATTATGTAAATTATAATTTTTTGTAAAGTAAATTTATATTTCATTATTTAGAGTGGCGATTAATTAAATTGTGTTTATAATTTAAATAATATACCTCAATTATGAACAATAATAAAGTGCTGTTTACACTTTTAAATTTTTAGTTAACTCGTTTCAATTTGTTATTTAAATTATTAAAATTAATTAAAGATAATTTGTAGTAATATCTCATAATTAAATATCAATTCACCTCTCTGTATATTGAAATATATGTAGACATTATACAAATATTCTTCACATTTAAAACTTTTATGACTCTCAAAAAAAAATATTAGGCTATCAAATTTAAGTAAACAAGTTAAAATATTTACATGTTATCAATTATGCCTACTAAATTATCCAAGAAAACACACACAAATACACAAACACATACCAATATAATCGTATTTTTTACGACTGAAATTTCTAGCATAATAATGTAAAAAATTAGCAAAAAAAAAATCGTGGATTATTATAACTAATTTTAATATTTGGATAATGAAATAATTATGAACATAAAATACAATGTCTATTACATATGCAACTATATACAAATAAAACATAAATTTTAGATTCTTATGTATTCTCTATTTTTTTTTTTTATAACTGATATTCAAATGCTATTTATATTAATGACAGAACCATGGTAAAATTAAAAATTTACACGAACCATAACAGCTCTAATAAACGGTAAATAATATCGAATACTCGAATGAATATTTACTTGTTCTGGATGAGATTTGTTATCGATATCTGGCATTAATCCATTATTAACACCAATTATATTATCAAATAATAAAACTGGTCCACCACTATCACCCTGAAATATTAAGTTTTACCTATTTAATATTCGGATACGTTAAAATCCAAATAAATATAAACAATTAATTTTAACCATAAAAATAAGTGCAATATTGTTTGACTTATAAATTTCAATTAAAATATAATTCCTATACCATTGATGTAATCGTATGAAATAAAAATATTATTCTTTAATCTTAACAAAAAACATATCAAAGTTCAGCAATTCATTATTCAAAAGAAATGTAATGATTATTGGAAAAATTTTAGACTAATTGTTATAAAAATTTTTTTACTCATTTACAAAACATAATATTGTAAAAAATTAAAAAAAATATCAATACTACAAAAAATTCAGTGATGCCTTAAAATTATTATTATTATGATTATTATTTACCATTATAAAAGTGCATGTTCTAATCGTTATTTGCTCGTTTATTTACTCTAAATTGAAATCAATAAATTTTCAATCAAAATAAATTCTTACATTATTCAATAATCCGTATGGCTCTGCAAACGTACAGAATTGTTTTTCGTAAACATTAAGAGTTATTCCTGAGAAGTCTCGAATCCTATTCTCACATTCATCTTTTGATATCAGTGTAAGTGTGACTGTATGCAATATTCGGGGTATCATATTATCTGATAATTTGCCCCAACCCGCCACCTGAACATTCATTCCATAAAATATACTATTCGGAGCATTTCCAAGCATTGCAGTAGGAACGTTATTCGGTATATTTCCAATTATCTAGTAAAAAATTTTTTTTATATTATATTTTCAAGACCATTTATGCGCAATGCGTTACATTCTAGAAATGTAAAAAAAATAAAAAGCTCGTTGTCCCTTTACAAACATACCTTTACAAAAGCAATATCATTAATTCGAAATTCCGTCCGTATGCGTTGGTTCGAAGCCCAATCATTATATGTTATTAAAAATAGGGGAAATGTTTCTATACTACGTGTCAAATCATTTGATCCAATCATTATTTTAAAGGCTGTTGGCAACATGTTTCTTAAACAGTGTTCGGCAGTTATCACATCTTGTTTGGAAATCAATGTTGCCGTGCATCGATGTAACCTTTGAATTGGAATCTCTAAAGTACTGGTTCTCCTAATGGATACGACATAACCGAATTCATTTTCACCTGCTTCTCTCACACCCTCCCCGATCAACGCATTGACAAACTTATATGGATTGTCTAGGCGGCAGATTATTTTGAAAGTAGAAATACAATATTCGATTAATTAGAATTATGTGCAGCAACTGCATTTACAGATTCAACTCAACAACAATATTTTTGCTACTTACGAAACATCATACATTGTATGAGAAAACAAAAATAAGGCTCTAACAACATGATAAATCAATCTGCTAGTCGACGTCTTTTTACTTTTTCAATCAACGTAAAATCTTGTTCCTTACGCTTTTTTTTTTTTTTTTTTTTACAAGTTGACGCGATATTCTAATTCTGTAGTTAACGACTGTGCCGAAAAATTACTTACGATATTGTTTTTAATAACAATTATATCATTCGAGCATCTGAATAAAATGTAAATATATTCAATATATAGAATGGAATAATTATATTTTTGAGAAATTTTTTTTTTCCTTAAATAATATTGAAGTATTAAAATTCAACCAATAAAGATAATAATTATGACTCGATCAATATCTATTTTACTATAAAACTTATTCGCTTCTTAATATTTGATTTAATATACAAGTTTTATGTATTTTTAAACATTGTATTCTTTTAATTAAAACTTCAAAGTTAAAAAATCTTTTATAAGTAATTGATGTAATTGCTAACTAAACGTCACTTATTAAAAAAAAAGTCTAATATATTTTATCGTTGATATAACAATTTAAATCTAACAATCTATGTTTAATACGTTTATTTTATTTCTAGATAATCGATACACCTCGATAAGTATTTGTAACTTCAAAACTCATTTCCTATATTAATCGTCTTAGAAATACACGTTTTCTTCGTTCGCAGATTAAACATAATGAATAAACTTTGGCATTAATTAAGTGGCCATGTCTCCTTCACAATGTACGGTAATATATATATATATATATATATATATATTAAAAATAATTATAATTAATGAATATCCGTATTTTATCGTCAATACGATATTGAAATTGATATTGGAAAGGGATATTATAAAAATTCAAAACATGACATCTTAGTACATGAAAATCATACGTATGAAAGCAGAATATTAAAGAAATGAAAATTATAATAATTAATAATATTAAAGAATGGTGTATCTTTATATAGTAATTTAAGTTCTTTTAAAATACAACAACTATAACTCGAGAAATTCTTTATTAAAAAACTGTACCAATCATTCTGAATTGTAATTTTTCCTAAACAATTATGAATAAATAAAAATAATAATGTGAAAGAGTATCTCATACAATTAATTGCCTGTATATAGTATATGGTGTATGTAGAATGTTATGTGCATATTTATTTGACGAATAAAATTTTATTCTTAATGTGTTATATAATATAATTAATGTATAAAGATTAGAATTAAACTTATATATAATTTTACATAGCGATGATAAACTTATTTAGTTAAATATTTAGTTAATTAAAATCAACTGTATTATTTACAGTTCAAACACACTTTATATATATATATATATATATATATATATATATATATATCAAAACGTGATTTATTTAACAAACATTGATAATTTAACGTTTAAAATAGCAAGATCATGCGTAAGAAGATGAGTAAACCAAAAATTGTAGGTATCCCAATAAAGCGAAAATGCCATAGCATGTCGTAAATTTAGATTTACTTTATCCTTTTTAAACTCTATGGTGCAAAATCTCTCATCATCGAGTCTGGATTTTATTAATTTTTTTTTTATCAAAAAGATTGAAAAAAAAAAATTGATTTAAAAAAAAAACGAATATTTCAATAGTTAAAAATAATTAAAAAAATTTCCATTTTCTTAAGAAATATAAACGTTTAATATCTAACTATCATTATAAAATAAATTAATAAATTTATTTAATTTCATAATTAAAAAATGACTAATGATTAATAAAATTAATTATTCTTAATGAATTTTTAATACATAAATATCTAAATGGTTATATGACAATAATGATTATAAAACAAAATAATGTACTGTTAGATTCAATCTTTTATAAAAGTATTTTTATTATAAAAACAAAACTAAAAGTTAACATCCGAACATAAGAAAATCATACAAATATAAATTAAAGTAACTATAAGAACTATTCAAATAAGGAAAATAATGCTATGTAGCAGGCCCTGTTATTTATAAATATTTATTTTATATTTGAATCGCTATTGTTCTCAAATTTAATGCAAACAATTTACACCAAATTTTCTTTGAGCTATACAAATATATAATAAAATATACTTTCCTCTTACCAGTAAAGTTTTTTATTTTTTATTTTCACTATTTGAACAATGCATACTTGATATATTTTATTACAAAAGTTCCTATTTGATGTTCATTCCATACTAAACTACTAGTTTCCGCTTTATTTTTTGAAATTGTTGTTAGTTTTTAATTTTACATTAAATTAGATAGAACGTTAAATAAATTTGAGAAAAGAAATACAATATATATATATATATATATATATATGTATATATATATAAATTAAAAAGATTTTCTAATCAACGGTAGTTTGAATTTTTGTATACTGTTAGTTAAATATCTTTTATGCATTTGTAAAAGCTACATACAAATTATAATAAAGACAATTAAAAAAATACTTGATGTATCTTATGCAACCGACGGTAGTAAGCTAATTATAATAATACGCAATGTTTATTCAATAAATCATTTAACAGTGCGAGATGCATACGAGTATTTTCATACAAATATCTACTTTATAATGAAAACAGTTAATATTTGCAAGTATTTACATAAGTCATTTCATAATAAAGGAATAATTAATTGGTGAAACAATAGGTCCTAAGTGCCTCCAATTTCCTCTTCTTCTCTTTGTTGCTTAATATATTACATAATGATTCTGCTATCGCGTGAATGTACTTACTATACCATACCAATGTATATTAATTTTAATATTCCTCTCCATATATCTATAAAAGCATAAAATATATCCACACTTCCTAGTGGAAAATCAAGTGGTTATATATCGAACGAATGCGAGTCGATTTTTAAATAGTTGATTGATTGATCATTAATTATAAATTAATTTTTCGGCAGTTACTCCCATATGTAATAATAAAGTCTAAACTACAATTATCACTACAATTTCTAAAAATATCTATATATTAATTATTCTGTAATTGTGAAATTAATTTGTAATTATATCTTTCCTAATTGCTCTACTTTTTTTTTTTGTTTCATGATATATTACGTTGAGAAGTTAATTTGTTTCTTTCACTCGTCACACTTGCATAATTTTATGCCAACGTTTGATTTCTCTAATGCATAATGTGCATTGATCATAATTTGTACAATTAATTAATTTATTTAAATAAATTGTTCATGGATGTTTTCATTTCTAAATTGACAATTTTTAAAATTATTAAATAAATACGTTTTATATTATATATTAACCGTATTTCTCTGTAAGTAGAATCTTTTATCTTTAGTGCGTGATACAAAAATTACATAAATTTATTTCTTTCGATTGTGCCAGGTTAATCATTTTACTTTTCCTTCAAAATTTAATAGCCGGCGAAATTTTTTATTTATATTTCAAGTGATCCATCAGACTGCTTCGTTTATAACTAGCTATTGTCTGAGAAAATGATAATGCTTCTAGTAATATATTTCTTAATAATTTACATTATTTTTCATTTTACAACTCCATAATATACAATTAATTTTCATTATTTACATAATGAATGTCAATTATGCATATTCAAAATAAATACTATTAAATACTTTACTCATTAACACGAGTAATATTTTTAAGTAATTTAAAAAAATTATATAATTTTTTTACAATTTGTTTTATAACTAGTTTTCACAGCTTTTATACGCGACACCTGAGAAATTACACTAATCGCTCGTATGAAATTATCCAATTGATAGTAAAATTATATTTTACTTTCGCAATGTATTTATTTATATAATGACAATTTTTTTAACGATTTTGGAGTTTCTAGTAAATGAAATTTTTATATAAATTATAAAAATTTCAATAATAAATTCTTTTCATAGAAAAGCAGTATAAAATAACCAATGAACTACAATTGATGCTATTTGTATTAATAAAATAATTTTCAAAAATGTTTAAATAAAATCTACTTATTATTTGATGCTAATGTAGTCATGCATATAATTTTATTTATACAATATATAATGTAAATGAGAGTAGAATAATTTTTTAATTATATATATATATATAAAGTCATATTTTTTATGATTGAAATTTCAAGCACAATAATGTAAAAAATTAGTAAAAATCATGGATTATTACAACTAATTTTAACATTTGGATAATGAAATAATTATGAGCTTAAAATAAAATGTCTATTGTGTGTGCAACGATATATAAATAACATAAAGATAACATGAATTTTAGTTTCTTATTTATTTTCTATTTTGTTTTTTAATTTTTCTACAAATGCATGTAATATTATTGACAGAACCATGGTAAAATTAAAAATTTACAGGAACCATAACACCTCTAATAAACGGTAAATAATAACGAGTAGTCAAATGAATATTTACTTGTTCTGGATGAGTATTGTTATCGATATCTGGGATTAATCCATAATTAACACCAATTATATTATCAAATAATAAAACTGGTCCACCACTATCACCCTGAAATATTAAGTTTTACCTATTTAATATTCGGATACGTTAAAATCCAAATAAATATAAACAATTAATTTTAACCATAAAAATAAGTGCAATATTGTTTGACTTATAAATTTCAATTAAAATATAATTCCTATACCATTGATGTAATCGTATGAAATAAAAATATTATTCTTTAATCTTAACAAAAAACATATCAAAGTTCAGCAATTCATTATTCAAAAGAAATGTAATTATTATTGGAAAAATTTTATAATATTCGTTATAAAAGAATTTCTACATATTTTAAAAAAAAAAAAAATATCGAAAATATTTTTAAAATGATGCATGAAATTTATTATTATGATTATTATTTACCATTATAAAAGTGCATGTTTTAATCTTTATATTCTCGTTTATTTACTTTGTATCGAAATCAATAAATGTTTAATCAAAATAAATTCTTACTTGATTCAATAATGCGTACGGCTCTGCAAACGTACAGAATTGTCTTTCGTGAACATTAAGAGTTATTCCTGAGAAGTCTCGAATCCTATTCTCACATTCATCTTTTGTCATCACTGTAAGAGTAACTGTATGCAATTTTCGGGGTATCGTATTATTTAATAATTTGCCCCAACCCGCCACCTGAACATTCATCCCATAAAATACACTATTCGGAGCATTTCCAAGCATTGCAGTAGGAACGTTATTCGGTATATTTCCAATTATCTAGTAAAAATTTTTTTGTATATAATATTTTAAAGACCTTACAAAGATTTATGCGCAATGGGTTACATTCTAGAATAAACCGAAACAAACCTACCTTTACAAAAGCAATATCATTAATTTGAAATTCCCTTTGTATGCGTTGGTTCGAAGCCCAATCATTATATGTTATTAAAAATAGGGGAAATGTTTCTATACTACGTGTCAAATCATTTGATCCAATCATTATTTTAAAGGCTGTTGGCAACATGTTTCTTAAACAGTGTTCGGCAGTTATCACATCTTGTTTGGAAATCAATGTTGCCGTGCATCGATGTAACCTTTGAACTGGAGTCACTCGATTACGGATTTTCATAATGGATACGACATAACCGAATTCATTTTCACCTGCTTCTCTCACACCCTCCCCGATCAACGCATTGACAAACTTATATGGATTGTCTAGGCGGCAGATTATTTTGAAAGTAGAAATACAATATTCGATTAATTAGAATTATGTGCAGCAACTGCATTTACAGATTCAACTCAACAACAATATTTTTGCTACTTACGAAACATCATACATTGTATGAGAAAACAAAAATAAGGCTCTAACAACATGATAAATCAATCTGCTAGTCGACGTCTTTTTACTTTTTCAATCAACGTAAAATCTTGTTCCTTACGCTTTTTTTTTTTTTTTTTACAAGTTGACGCGATATTCTAATTCTGTAGTTAACGACTGTGCCGAAAAATTACTTACGATATTGTTTTTAATAACAATTATATCATTCGAGCATCTGAATAAAATGTAAATATATTCAATATATAGAATGGAATAATTATATTTTTGAGAAATTTTTTTTTTTCCTTAAATAATATTGAAGTATTAAAATTCAACCAATAAAGATAATAATTATGACTCGATCAATATCTATTTTACTATAAAACTTATTCGCTTCTTAATATTTGATTTAATATACAAGTTTTATGTATTTTTAAACATTGTATTCTTTTAATTAAAACTTCAAAGTTAAAAAATCTTTTATAAGTAATTGATGTAATTGCTAACTAAACGTCACTTATTAAAAAAAAGTCTAATATATTTTATCGTTGATATAACAATTTAAATCTAACAATCTATGTTTAATACGTTTCTTTTATTTAATGATAATCAAGTCAGTTCTATAAATATTTGTAAATTCAAAACTCATTTCCTATATTAATCGTCTTAGAAATACACGTTTTCTTCGTTCGCAGATTAAACATAATGAATAAACTTTGGCATTAATTAAGTAGATTAATTAAGTATGGCGAGTTCAGAATGTAATTTTTATTTTATTGGCGTCATTCATATTTAAATATTCTTATTATTTATCTATATATCAATTGTATTTTTTTAAAATATAATTTAAACCATGAATTTTAATTGCAAAGTCAATATTTTGTAGTGAAATTGTGTCTAATTTTAATGTTATTTAATGGAAAGAATATTTTTTAATTCTAACGACGCATAAATTATTATAATATTAATAATGACTATTCGGAGGTGAAAATAATGCATTATTGAGTAATATTATACATTGAAAATATTTATCATAATTCATATTATTCATTAAAATGATTTAAATTAATTATTTGAATAATTTGAAAAATATATTTAATCGCAGAAAGAAATTGTTCGAATGAATTTTATAAGATCTAATTATTGTATTCTTTATTGAAATTTAAGGAATAATGACAATACCTTCAAATTTCATTCCAGTATACACAAATAGAAATGCTCGAATAATATTTGAATTACAGAATAATCCTATTATAAATAATTTTTATTATAGAAACAAACAATACAAGATTTGAACATATGAAATGTCGAAGTAGCAGATAAGTACGAATTTTCTTATATCGTGTCCAATGTCATAATCGATATTGAGAATTTCAATTAACAAAATATCTTTGTTGCTTAATGATACTAAACGAATTTTGCCAACAAGTAATATTTTACTTGCCAAACATTGTCTGTCAAAGAAACTATGGAATTCGTAATATTTTTGTAATAGATTGTGTCAATTAATGCGAGTCAGTGGAATAAAATATTATCGCTGACGATGCATAGCATATAAGTAGTGGTCATTAATATGATATATACACTTTGTTAACAAGAAACAAATTTTCAACAAAATTTCACTACAACTAAATGACAGTACTACAATGAATATGATTAAAACTGTTGTTTTTAATAATATAAAAAAAAAAAAATTCCTATACCTACAGTACTCGATAGTACTGGTTTATTCCAAGTATTACAGTAAGAATCGAACAATTATAATCTTTCTAATAGCAATAATCATTATTTATTAGAAAGTGTTACAGTGCCTCTATCTCTGTCATTACCATAAATGTTCTCTTAATCATTTATGCCATGACTTACAGCTCATACACGCTCATTTGATGCAAAAACTCTGAGCAAACTTGTGTTTCCACTACGTTTTACCTAGCCGGTCTTTAATTTTCAATCGATCTATCTCCTCAAGTACGATCGTCATGCATTATTTAAAACTCTGGCACTGGCGTATGAACACGAATTGTACTAATCGAATCCTATCAAGCGCTTAAAGCAAACGCGATCATTAATTACATTTCAATGTTTTCGTGAACGATCTGATTTATATTTGATAAAAATATGTAAACAAAGGAGGACAGTGTTTTATAACTGCATATTGATTTTTCAAATTGACGGCACTAATACTTATATTATTCGCTAAATATGAGCTCCGTATTATTTAATCGAAGGAGCGCTCGATGCTACTTCAAATGTCGATATTTCTAATAAACTAAATGACAGCGTGTATAAATTAGATATTGTAACAATATGCAAGAATTTAACAATGGACGGCGACTTTATAAGGATGATAAAAACGGTCGATTTAAAAGTATCGATCAAAGCATGAATGTAACTTTAGGATTTATGAACTTTCAGACGAATAAGTAATGCACGTTGATAAAAGAACTTTTCTATTGATAGAGTATCATTTGGATTATTATAACAATTAAATACTATTGTATTTGTCTTTTTCTACTTTTAATTAAATATCAATTAATGATTAAAAAATTAATGACAAATTTTAAAAACAAGCCAGGTCTTTTATTCATATTTGAATTAATATATTGAGTTAATATATTTCATGTATTAATAAATGTGAATAACCCATATATTAAGAAGTTTCAACGTTAAGAAAATAATGGCAATCCGCTACTATAGTTTAATACTAATATTGTTGTTAATGCAACAACAGATTCATTGCTCAGGAGGACAATTTATATTAAATATTTACGTTACATTACTTACTATTTACATTAAATATCATTTTCATTAATACTATTGATTAGAAAAAATTATAACATACAGATATGTACACTTAATTATTCATCAATATATATTATATTATTTACAATCGTTTATATTTACAGTATTAATAGTTTTAAAGTTTAATAGTTCAAAGAGATCGTGTTTTTAATAACATCTATTTTTTATTAAAAAGAAATATGTTTCATGGAGATTTTTTTATTTTTTTCTTAAATTGCAATTCCTTAAAGTCGTGAATCTGATTCTCTCTAAATATTAACTAAATATTAAATAAATTATTTTAATTTCAAATAAGCAATTTATTATGTACAGCACATAACATAATCTTATTAATCATCAGCTCGAATACATGTTTTTCGATAGTCTGTGATTTTACAATTATTAAAAAGAATAATGAAAATATATTTAAAAAATTGTATGATAACGTATTAACAGTTTAAACAGTTAAACAGTTTTTCTACAATATTCTGTCTTAGGAATTTGTAAAATTGTAATAAACTATAAAATTTATGGTTACGATATAATCCAAATGACGAAGAATTAATAAAAGCTATAATTGTTATAAAGTAGTTAGATAATACGTTAAAGACATAAATTAGAGTTATCAATAAAAATAACAATATATTAATAATTTTCAAATTAAAAATTAATTTTTCTAATAAAAACATATCTATGTATTTCATAATATATCACAATATATTTGTATTTATTAAAACTGATTCTTATATTCGCAGTATAGTAAAACAGGCATATTAATACATAGAAATATGTATGGACAGTAAAATTATACTCGAAATATATTTACAGAATCGAAATTGGTATTTCGTAATCGATAAGAGATAAGCTTTCTCAAAATTGGCCGTAAAGTATAAAAATAAAAATAATTTTAATAAACACAATAAGAAAACAATTAAAACTATCTGTACATACGAAATAATTGTATTGATTTTACGAAATCATGAGCGATTTTTACTTTGTTAAAGAATTCGATATTACAGAATTAAAATAAAATAATTTTACGATCCAATTGATGAAAGAATTCACAATACAGAATAAACAATTATATATATAATTTACATAACTACAACACATACATATATATATATATATATATATATATATATATACGCGTGTGTGTATATATATATTCCATAAAAATGTAACTTATATTTATTAAAATTATACATAATTTCAACAATTTATTAAATATTATTAAGAGATATATTACCTTTTATTTGTTAATGATTTTATTATACAATTTTAAATAAATCAAACATGCATACGATTTTCTTTGTTTCATTTCATCTTAAAAATACATTTAATTACTAGCCTTCATGGCATAATAAACTAAGAAAATTTATTGTTTAAAACGGGATAAATTTAACATAATGTAATTATAAAAAAATACGATAAAAAATTGACTCTGTTGATAAAGCATTATTTAATCATATCTAAACATTTTATTATTGAGATTTTGAAACTAATAAAAGGTTTAATAAATCTTTTTCTATTGTCAAAAAGAATTTTTTAACCATAATTAAGCAGTATTGAATCAAATTATGAGCTACTTTATAGAAATTTTATTTACAATTCTTCTAATAATAAAACAACATTTTAATAGCTTAACTGTTAGATATATGTACACAAACTTAATTTACAAATTATTAAATATGCATTTAGGCAATACGAAAATTTTAACGTTCAATTTTTCTTACAAAACATATTTAAATATTTTTCAGAATAACCGACTAATATATCTGCATAACCACATTATTAACAGTTGATATAATGTACCAATAACTTAATATATAAAATTACATACAAAAATAATACACTACTTAACTACAATTTCCATCACGATCAGAAAAAACATTCAATTGAAGAAACAACATAGGTGCAATATCATAAAGCTTAGTATATGCAATTCAAACAGAGTTTTATAAAATCTTTTTAAAATTTAAGATTGATAAAACTAGGATAATTAATATTGCAATTAATACTTATATGTGACGTACACATGTAGTGAATACAATTTTTTGTGTCTATTGAATTAATATGTTTTCTTTTTATAAAGCTGATCGCTTAAAAATATTTGAGAAAAATTAATTTTTCCGTTACAATTTTCATACAGAAAATACTAATTTATTCAACAATGTATTTTTGATGACTTTTTAAATCGTTGAAGTTAGGTATGAGATAATAAAAACCGTGAGTAATGAGTACCGTGAATTATGCCATGTAATTAACATTATTTTTTTCATTTCATTAGGACATTTGTAAAAGTAAGATTTCATAATGAGCACTTGATTTACAAATTTACTTAAAAAATTATTAATTTTTAAATCAAAATGTTTGTTTAAACGCTTAATATTTCATTACATATGTATAAAAATTATGTTAATTTTTATCTTCTAATATCTTTACACTGTAATATATAATTATTATTCTAATATTTTATATCAAATTAAATAATCAGGTTTCAGATCCATTTTTTTATTATTATTATATAAATACTGTTTACTTACGAGTTAATATCTCAGTCATATTATTGCTGTTCGATGTCAAAATCTGCTTCCATAAATTTTATGGTGTTCCGTCTCGCCTAACAATTCATTTATTTAAACTCAAATATACGATTTAATTATTGCAGTAACAACACATATCTATTTAAGATATTAAAAGAATGATATAATATAATGTATAATGAATATGACGAAAATTCTAACCTTGACAGTACCACTGAACTATTATATAAAGTTATTGCAATAGATAAAAAGGATAAAGTGAACTACCTTATTATTATAAAATCTAACATCAACTTGTTTAATAGAATAAGATAAAATGAAACTAATAAAATAGAAGATTTTATGCTATATAAATTTCATTTTTCTTATCAAATATATTTTCAATGAAATTCAAAATATATTAATCATGAAAAATTAAGACATCGATGGCGATATACTAAATCGTATTTACATTCAAAATAAAAGAATCTGATATTAAGATAAAATTATGGTTTGTTTATTTTTCGACAAACTATTATTAAAATAAAATTAGGGACTTTGAGTATTATTCGAGTTTATTTAAATAATCGTTTTTATCGTAACACTATAATCTCCATAAAATCAAATGGGAAGGAATACACGTATGGAGAAGCGTTTGAAGATATTCAAAATCGCATTTGATAAAATTATTAAAAACAAAAAAAAAAATTCGATATATTCTATATGCTATATTCTATATATTCTATTCTATATATATATTGTTTAAAATAATATAGAGATTTTATTTTTTTTTTAATTTTCAGCTATTTAAACCAACGTTCCATGTCAATTCTCGAAATATCCAATGTTTAATTTAATAATTGAATTTCGTAAATATTTAATGACAAATTATGCGATGACATTAACTGCATAAATGCGACTGAAAACTAATGCAATATAATTAAATTTATAAAGGTTATCAGATCCTTAAATATCATAGATAATAGGATGAAACGAAGGATATAAGAATAACTCCTGAAATTTTATAAATGACAATATCAATAATTATTTAATAATTTCAATTTCGCTTGAATTTATAATTATAGTAAAGTAGCCGCTATTTCTGTAGAATGAGATAATATTTAAAATATTTTCCTTTCCTCGAGTATTGTTATTAATTTATTTTATAAATGATAAGTCTTTATTACGAGGTATAATTGGCTATTGTATAATGTTTTAAATATCATAATTCCTGAATATTCACACATATGCGTGAAAACACAATTGAATGTTATTGTATGCATAAATACTAATATTATACAGATTTTGGTTCAGTCATGAAAGGATAACGTTGTTAAAGGATAAAAAGCGACTTTAAATTTTGAAAAGAGAAATGATAAGAAAACTACTAATAATGTAAAAGCACGGCGTTTCAACTAAAAAAAAAAAAAAAAAAAAACACTGACAAAGCAAATCTTCCTTATCACGAGACTGAACTCATAAAATTAGTTTAGCTACTAACACCTAAAAAAACATAAAGTAATTAATTTAATAAATTTAAAAAACTGCTTTACATTTACATTATAAATTAATGACTATTAAAATGAATACGTAGCACATTTAGAAATTTTTTGTATACTTTCTCATATTTATTATTGAAATTATTGAAATCCTTTTAAATTAAACAGTATCATCAATTGTGATATACTTAAATTATAAATGCTGGACACATATTTATATCATATCTATATTTAACATTACCTTATGTTTACAATATTTATTAACAATATATAATATTATAATAACAATATTTTTGTGCAGTACAGATATGTAATGCAACATAATGAAATCATAACGAATTACAAATAAAATATTTTACACAGGAATCCTGCATTCAACGTTCTAATCAAAAGAATATTTTCACAATTTGAAGACTTTTGATTTATTGTGGTTTTATCTAGTTGTATAATTTTATTTAAGCCAAATATAAAACTGCATGATTTATAAAACAAATATCTAATTCTCTGTAACAAAACATATATGTTTTGCGTAAGGCATTAACTCTTTTCTTATAAATATTTGTCGTTTTACTTTAAATTCTCTATTAGCTAAAGTTTTTAAATAAACGTTCCTTTAAATATTTAGAATTTCATCGACGAATTGTTTCACGTGATTCTTATATCTCGGTAAACAACTTGAATCCATATAAAGTATATAAATTTAATCAGATATAAAGTATCGAATGTATGAATATTGTCCATATGACTATTTCAATTATATTTCTACAGAATCTACTCGTAGTCAACTTATCAACTGAAAATCCTATTGTAATTTTATACTTTGTAAAACAGTTAAAAAATATTCAATGTAAACATTACATTAACATACGAGCGGATTATATAAATATTTTTAATGGAGATGAATTCTGTATCTCATATGTCAATATTTATCCTACTAACAAAACGTATACACATATTAATTTTCTTAAACAATTCAATACTCAACCATATAAACAATAATATACTCCTACCGTGGCAAAAGTATTTACTTGGTATTCGATTTTTATAACTCACGTTTTCACGTGAGCCTCAACGTACGAAAACATGATACATGAAAAAATTAATCGCTCTAATAATAATCAGAATTCCAGTAAGTCCCAGCATTTGTCAATTTATCGAAATAAATATAAATTGGCATTTAAGAATGCGATTTCATTTTCAATAAAAATACGAAGAAATATATCGAGTTGTTCTTAAAAATAACGTCGCTAATATAAGTAAGAGGTCTTTTGTCATTCTTGATTTACTTGAAATTGTGAAAATTTTTTCGAATTTAACGCGAATTGAGAGAGACCATTTTGTTGATACATTTTTTTTCTTGATAAATTTTTAATAAAATTTTATAGCTTTATTTTTATATTAAAAACAATGCTTAACACTTACATTTTATATATTCATTTATTCATATTCTATTTTATTAAATACATAATTTTTTAGATGAAAGAGTTTCACGACCAAATATTGAAACAATTGATAATGAAATTCATAGAGAATAATAATTATAAATTTTCGTACATTCTTAAAAGCAATATGTTAATTTGCTAAAATGGTAAACGAAATATTTTTTAACATTATAAGTCAATTTAAAATATTAAATATTTGTATTTTACTACTACCGATAAATATTTTATTTATAATACTCGCACAAATTACAATTCAGTACTTTATTATAAACTTTTCTATAACATCTAGGATAAAGTCCTTGTAGAAAAAAGTACTGGAATGAAAATTTACTTGTTCTGGATGGAATGTTGAATTCAACTCTGGCCACACTCCATTATTAACGCCTATAACAATATCGTTAAACAAAAGTGGCCCACCGCTGTCACCCTAAAATAAAAATTATATAATTTTATATATTTATGCAGGTGTACTTTTCATTATTTGAATCTGAAATGAAGAATTTTAATGTATTAAAGCAATAATATTTAAATTCCAATAAAAACGAATCTTTATTATAGCACACACGTATATTTAATAATTACGTATCAACTATAAATTAATTTATTGAATTAATCTATTAAATTTAAGAATTGTTACTTCGAAACTTAATTTAGGTCTAACAATAAACAAATTTAAGCCTGAAAGTAGGTTTGAAAATTATAATGTAATAATAATAACATAATATGTTTCTAAAACTTCAACATCTGTTCAATAATCCTAAATATACAATAAATGAGCTAATCACGTTTTAAAAAAGAAAAATTTTGGATAAAAAAGAATAATTAAACAATTAAAATAGAATAATTTAAGTTTGCACTGAATTGTTCGGAGATGTTGTAATTACTTTTTATAATTCCGCGTAAACCTTAAAAATTATTTTCAATAAAATTGTACAAGTAAGTGATTTTTCAATTTTTTTTTTTTTTTCAATATTGAATTATTGCAATTGTATAAAAACCAATAAAATTCACAAATAAATATTTTGATAATATTTAGGTTTAAATAAAAAATAGATAAAATGAGGAAACATAGTATCAATAAAAAGTGACATGATAAAATTGGAAAAACTAGGGAGAAACAACATGGATGTAGAGAGAGAGAGAGAGAGAGAGAGAGAGAGAGAGAGAGAGAGAGAGAGAGAGAGAGAGAGAGAGAAAGAAACATATTTATAATATAAGAAATTGGAAGGAAAATAAATGCTCTTATAGCTCATTCTTATGGCATCCATTGCAATAAATGAAGAAAAAAAGTTCAATTTCAATAATTTCACGTAACGTAATTAAAGATATGAAACTGAAGTATAAGATTCTTTGCACTGTAATCGAGATTATACGAGTCCCTAAAACTATAAATACTTATATTTCTTAGAGTACTATTAATTAGTAATAATATTAATTAGTATTATTAATAATTAATCCTTGGGCATTTATAACGAGCTTAAAAATTATATAAAGATTCGTAAAAAATAACGAACACTTACATTATCCATTATTGTATATGGCTGTGTTGCAGAACACAAACGCTTTTTGTGTATTGGGCGTTTCACTCCACTTAATCTAAATATGGTATTTTTGCAAACACGGAGTGGTACAAGATTTACAATGGCTGCCTGCAATTTTCTGGGAATTTTACCATTATTCGTCTTACCCCAGCCGACTATTTGAATATCCGATTCAAACATACTTTTATCAAAAGTTGTGGCAATAGACGCAAGTTTAATATGACCGGGCACATTTTCCGATAACTAAAAACATTATTTAGTTGTTAGTTTATGTGAACTCATGCAATGGTGAAAAATTAATTTGTCATTGAGTTTATGCATTGAGCTTGTACATTAACATTTACCTTAACTATGGCAATATCATTTGTTGCATACTCAAGTTTTACATCATTATTCAAAGCCCAATGATTGTACGTCACCCACCATAATGGAAAATGCTTTTTACCATCTAATAAGTCAATAGAATCGACTATTATTTCAATGCCTATTGGGTAACAAGCTATAACACAGTGTTCGGCAGTTAAGACATCTTGCGATGTGATGAGAGTCCCTGTGCAAACAAGATGCTTTGGAAGTTGAGGACCTTCTTCGGGAATTTTCATTAATGCAACAACATAAGGAAATTCGAGCTCTTCCGCTTGTCGAACATTTTCTCCAACAATGGCCTTTGCATTTATAATATTACACTCGTTATCTAGCCAACAAAATTATAATACGACATAAGGTAATAAATAGTTCGGGAGATATTTGTTTCGTCTTATTATCTTATTAAATAATTCAAACATTAATAAATGATGTTATTGCTTACAAAATATTGCAAATTTGATTAAAATGAATGATATGTCAAGCCATCGGTTAATATGTATATTACGAATAGAACGCATATTACTACATAAGTTCATGCATATATCAGTATAAGCTATTGTACATAAAGTATTATAAATATGCTGGAAAAAACTATTAATTGCGGAGTTTTAGATTGTTATACAAAAATTATTGCTAAGGACACCGATAAAATTAAATATAATAATGACTTCCACTTGTTAGAATAAGATTAACAGAAACATAAAATATAACTGATAAAATAGAAGCTTTCATGCCATATAAATTTCGTTTTTCTTATCAAATATATTTTTAATGAAATTCAAAACATGTTAATCAAGCAAAATTAAGGCATTGATAGCGATAATGTATAACTAAATCGTATTTACATTCAAAATAAAAGAATCTGATATTAAGATAAAATTATGGTTTGTTTATTTTTCGACAAACTATTATTAAAATAAAATTAGGGACTTTGAGTATTATTCGAGTTTATTTAAATAATCGTTTTTATCGTAACACTATAATCTCCATAAAATCAAATGGGAAGGAATACACGTATGGAGAAGCGTTTGAAGATATTCAAAATCGCATTTGATAAAATTATTAAAAACAAAAAAAAAAATTCGATATATTCTATATGCTATATTCTATATATTCTATTCTATATATATATTGTTTAAAATAATATAGAGATTTTATTTTTTTTTTAATTTTCAGCTATTTAAACCAACGTTCCATGTCAATTCTCGAAATATCCAATGTTTAATTTAATAATTGAATTTCGTAAATATTTAATGACAAATTATGCGATGACATTAACTGCATAAATGCGACTGAAAACTAATGCAATATAATTAAATTTATAAAGGTTATCAGATCCTTAAATATCATAGATAATAGGATGAAACGAAGGATATAAGAATAACTCCTGAAATTTTATAAATGACAATATCAATGAAATTTATTATATTAATTATTGTATTATATTAAAAGAATAATATTAATGATAATTAAAAAATGATTTTATTTGCTTACAAAGTATTTCAAATTTGTTTAAAATGAAAGAAATATCGAGCCATCGGCTAAAATTATTCGTATTATATACAATAATTGCGTAATAAAAAAAATATGCATGTCTTCTTGAACGGTAAATAAAAGAAAACTAGTTTTACTATAGCACGTACAGCTATAAAGACTGAAGTAAATTAGATAAAGTTTTAGGTCGTATAAAAAAATTATTGATATTTTATTAAACGTAAGACAAAGTACGAACGCATTAAACATAAATTCAGGTTTACAAGTTTATACGTTTATGTGTTGAGAAAAATATCTTAAATTTTTTAACATTTTAATTTAACGCTATAATGAATTAAATTTTATTTATGAATAAACATTAGAATATTACAAGATTATAAGATATTTAATCGAAATTTCTAATAAAAATGATTGACTGATTGAATAATAATTATAATAAGTAGTTATTTATAAATATTTATTTGTAAATAGCATATGTAATAATAGATAAAATATTTTCAAAATGAATATTTTGAGAATCAATGATGGTAAATAGAAATCTTAGCATTATACTATCTTTTTCTGCATGATGTATATTTCCAAACAATAAATTTCGGTCTTTTGTACCAAAGGTCTCCATATAAGACTTATTCTTCCGTAAATTTTGAAAGTCAGTCTTTTAGTAAGGTATTATTCATTCCAAAAATATTCTTTTTTACTAAAAAAAGTCTCTGTGGTCAATGCATATAAGTATTAGCCATAAATTCCTATTGTTTATTATTAATTGATTTCAACGCTAAGTCTAATAAACAGTGATAAGGCATAGCTTATTATTAATATACATATATAACAGTATTTATATAAATAAATTTTTTTTTAATAAGAATTTAATATGATATATTATGATACATTTTATGATATAATATATTGTATATCATATGATTTATTTGTATGAACTGATGCATAGGATTATTAGCTAGTATTAGTACATATTTTGTAAATTGTACTTCTAAAATTATGAGCCGAGGATTAAATTTAACTTAGTTACTTAAGGATTAATTGTTTTCGTTTATTCTGTTTGTACTTGAAAAATAAAAAAGAAGAAAGGAAAATACGAAGCCTAATGTTTTTGAAACGTTAAAAATATATGAAAGAAGTCGTTATAGGATGTTGAGATGCTTCTTCACGACAATATTATATAATAGGCGTTTGAGTAAAAAAAGCCTCTTTGACAAATTTAAAAGTATTTTTCACGTCTATGATGCTGTAAAATCCTCTTTTCTCAGCAGTCAATCGTATAGACTTAAGAGTATCTGATTTAAAAGATTATTCTCGCACAGCTGATTATACGCTCTATATAATTTTCAAGGTGTCACTTAAAAAATAGAATATTTCATGTCGCCTTAATATTATATTTGAACACACTCGACAATATTAAAATTGTGTTTGTATAAACTTGCAGCCATAAAACTTTGCTAACTCTTAATGCATAACTTATTGGCGATCTATAGAAAATTTTGAATGCAAATGTATTCTTGTTCGGAGTTTATTATAAGATAATTAATTATATATAATTATTTTATATACGAAATATTTTAAATAATTTCGGCAATAATATTATGGCTTACTTTAGATTATTTATATTTATAAAATCCAACGAAATCCATTACTGTACTGTAATTTACATTAAATTTTAAAATATTCGCCAAAATTAAAACAAAGATAGACGGATTTTAAACGCTTTTTAATAAAGATATATTTTTTTTTTTATTAATTATCGTTATATTCATGATTATTAAATAAGATTATAAAAATACGTCGTTTCTTTGTCTGGATGTACGAATTCAATGAAATAAAAAATTTTTAGATAATAAAAAAGGAAGCAAAATTATAGCCAAGTATCAGATTATTATTAAAAAATAATAAAGAAATTTTGAATGATAAAAACAGTAAAGAAAAGAAAATTAATGCCTTGTAAAAACAAGCATATAATTTTTTATATTTCTTTGTTATTACATAGTATTAATTGTCTATTTATCAGCGAAGAAGATATAAGTAAGGCGGAGATATAATAATTTTTAAATTATTCAATAACATATAGTGTAAATATATTATTATAATATTAAATATTCATAATGATACATATTTATCGTATATTATGGAAAAGCTAATTTATATACAATATCAATAGAAAAAAATATTTTTAACCAAGTAAGCAAATATATTCAATATACTTACAAGATAGATATACTTACAAGATTGCATAAGATCGTAATTGACATAATAATTAATTAATAATAATTCTAATAGATTATAAAACAGACCGTTCTGGACTAAAATAGATACTGGAGTTATCCATATTTGGAATGAATTATCCATATTTGGATAATTAAAGTATAAAATTACTTATACAACATAAATTCATTATTATCAGATTAAATTAAACAAAAGTACAACTTGTATGCTGTTGATACTACATATTATTGACAAATGCATACTAGTGATTAAATGTTTATACGAGTACAGACATTAATTGAGCTAATTAATGTTACATTATTATCGTATTTTATAATATAGATAATTAATATTTAAGAATTCAAAAATACCATCGTAAACATATAGTTGTATAATTTAAGAGTAATCGTATAAATAAATATATGCAAATAGAATATTATGTGAAAAAAGTAGAATTGAAAATATTTCGTAACCCTCTCAACTACAGTTTGGAATGATTTACATACTAAAGGATAATAAAAATTATTAATTTAAACGATAGAATTATTGACTCGAGAGATCAAATAATCTACATCTAATAAACATATAATAATACATTCATTTACGTATTATATACAAGCATATTTGTAGTAGTAAATAGTCTATAGAAAAGCACATGATAAAAGAATGCAAAATAAATTAGTTCAAATGACGACAAACGATAGATATGGAATGAAAAATGAATATCTCCTTCAAACGTAATTGCATAAATTAGTATGACTAAATGAAATATAATTAATAATATGTCGGTTTTTTGTGGTTACAATAAGAAATTATGAGCCAAAAATATAAAATATTAAATATACACAGCTGTTAAATATATAAGCATTTTTAAAATAAATAACCATAAAATATACATAAACTAGAAATTCAAATGTCAAAAGATATGAATTTTTATAAAAATTAACATGTACAAAATTAATAGATATATAATACATTAATAATAACAATAGAAAAGTTTTCAAAAGTAGTCAATCATTATTATTTTCCAGACGTTTTTTTCTGAAAATTTCAATAAAAATGATTAATACTAATACTTACCACTAATAATACTCATTAATCCTCATAATAATATTATTAACAATTTTTTCAAGACAATTTTTTCACTAGAAAATTTTAACAAACAAAAATATCGACACAAACCATATGCAACATGTATTTTTACGTCTATTTTAGGTTCTGTGTACATAGTCATAAAAATATTATTAGAAAAAAATTATTAAAAATCATTTGTCCAGTAATTTGTCTAACGATAATATTATATAGTACGATGAACTTTTAAATCGGTCGACTATTATTATTTTAATACGGGATCCTATTGTACCTATTGACATATAAATTTCGACATGCCCAATGTATTTACTCTTACGCAAAATATTATTAAAATTTATTCATTAAATAGATAAAGTTAAGATCTTTCACTACTTATAAAATATTACTCATTAATTATCTTTAATTCACTTATGTATTAGAATGTCAATATTATAGTAATATAGTTAAAAAAAAAAAAAAAAAAAAAAAAAAAAAAAAAAAACAAAGCCAAATATTTAAAAATTAAGAAATATAATTTTATATTATTTTTATTTCAATATTTGTGAAGGGAGCACCTGTAAAATATATTTTCATTATCATATGAAATAAGCCACATAATTGAAATACCTTAAACTTAATAATTGTGACTTTTTAATTCACTTTTTAGATATATTTCTTAATCATAATTACTATTCTTTTATTATCATATAGACATATATTGTCGCTTTATGAATATGAAAAATTACAATTTAAATATGAATATTATATTTTATGTAATACTACGAGATATTGAACATTTTCTAATTTAATAATAACTTTCTCCAGCTTGAAATAATAAAATATAAAATGAAATGCATTCGGAGAAATAAGCATGAATTTTATTTTAAAAATACGATGCTAAATAAATTATTATATCATCTG